GAGGGAAGAAAAGGGGGCAGAGGGTTAGCAAGGATGGTGGAATGTGATGGACATCATTATGCAAAGTACATGTATGAAGACATGAATTGGTGTGAACATACTTTATATACAGAGATATGAAAAATTGTATTCTACATGTGTAATAAGAATTGTCATGTATTCCACTGCCATGTTTTAAAAAGTAAAAGCAATTAAAAAATAAACACCAATAAACACTAATAATAGTAGCAAACCTATGTGAAGCCCTTTATATTTTATAAAATACTTCTGTGCATTTTCTTACAGGACTTTCAAAAAATACTTAACATTTAAATAGAACAACTTTCCTTAATATGTCCATGTTATCAGTAAATAAACTGGCTTAGAGAGGCAAGATAACTTGTGCAAGGACCACCACACTAAGTAGTAAAAATGGATCTTTAGTGGTCTTGGAAGTGAAAAGCCCATGCATGCATCTTCTTTCTGTCTCTTTGAATATCTGCCCCATCTAGATATTTAGCCATCTCATTAGTGGGGTTGACAAGAAAAATGTACAACAAGAATCATGAACCATGTCATCCTTGTAACAGATGACTATGTAGGGTTGGGGAATAATTTTAGAAACTGGAGTTTGTTTGAGACTGTATATACATATAAAAATGTTTCACTCTCATTTTTATCCTGGAAAGTAGAAATCATAATATTTAATGATTGCAGGATTCATTTTCAAATAATTGTACATAGTCCCACCTGAGGCAATTAAAACTTTCCCCAAATACCACACGCTCTGGAGACTCAAGGAAAATGGAATGATTGTTAATCTAAATCAGTGTCTATGTCACATAAGTACATGGGTACCTCTGTGATCCAAACAATAATTGCAAGAACAGGAAAGCTAATAAGTTACAAGGATCTCCTGTGCCTCTCTAACCCACAGCTGTGATTTTGTGGGCAAAGTGTAATTGTATATTTTTGGGAACTTTCACTCTGATACTTGTTTTGTTTACTTTAAAGTGACAGGATAGTGTCCACCTCCATTAATCCATCA